TCTTCACTATTAATAATTAAATTAATTAATTAGTCAACAATTCAAAATATTTAAATACACTATATATAATCAATATAGTTATACTTACTCATTTACAAATCCACCAGAATTAGTAATAAAATTAATTGATAAAATTCCAGTTAAAAAAAGTCTATTATTCTCTTTCCATTCCTTTGTTTCTAAATAAAAGGTAATTTATATTGCCCATCATTGTCTTCAAGTAAAATGTAACCTTTTGTTGAAGCATCCTTATTTTCACTAAATATAATTTGATCATATTTTAATATGCTTTTTTAATATTTCTCCATCTACTGCACCTTCCAAAGTGCATTGATATTTTCATAGGCTTGGTATGTATTTGAAGCTATCTTCATTTTCAAACAAAGATAAAAATACACTCTCTGGAAATGCATCAATTACTATATTTTTTTTCCAATTGAGTGTCTATTAAACCCTAGACTATTTTTTAAACAAATTATCATCGCATCTCTATAAAAGAATAAGGTTTCTTCCAAGTATATGATGGTGTGGAACAAATTTATTGTTTTTGTGATTTTTTTGTTTGTGGCTCTGAATTTTTTTCCTTGCATCGTAACTTTTAAACCAAAGTAGGCAAGGAAAAGTACATGTTGTAGTCATTGAAAATAATAATGAAGCATATATTATTTATAATCGATAATTCAATAATTATAATTTTATTGGTTGAGTTGATGATCAGTTCCAGGTGACAAAATTGAATGTATATCATTAGCAGGTGATATAATCAAAGTGAAACAAATCAGATGTATTGGTGATCTGGCGACACGTTAATTAGAGAAAAAAAAAACCTAATTATTTTACTTTCTTTTTTTTTATTTTTTTTTAAAAAAATATTTTAGAAAATGATGCTAGAATAATCGAAATCAATTAATTTATCTAAATTTATCGACTTTATTTAATGCAATGATGGGATGATCAATATACCCAATAGCGGTTGCATATCGTATTTTATTCTTTTAGTTTTATATATTTCATAATCGTTACCTGAAACTGTGTTTGAAATTCAATGTGCGGAAACAAAATTTGAAAACTCCGCACATAAAAAAAAAGGCCTCCGCATATAGAATTATATAGAATTCTAAATTGTGTAAATTCCGCACAAGATTTAGAATTTGAATTTCAAGCATTGATCTGAATTCAACAATGATATCTGCATATTTAAGCTGGAAAGTAAGTAAAATATATTAAAAAATTAAAAATAAGATTTTGATTCTATAATGAAGCCTTCTTTGACTAGGAATACATACGAAAAAAAATAAAATGCATGGATAATTAGATAATTAATAAAACATACCGTAAAATTTATAATATGTACTTTTAACTTATAATAAATGAACAAATTAAATGATAGAATATATAATTTATGAAAATATAATGTACAAATTTCTGGACGTTTAATGAACAAAAAATAATGAATATTTAAATATTTTATTGAACATTTATTTTTTCACAATTACGCGCAATAACAAATTTCTAATCAACAATATTACCATGAAATTCATGAAATTTAACACAAATATTATCATCAGGATTTATTTACTAAATATTGTCTGCCCTCTTCCATGGTAAAATTAAATAAATTGCTACGTCTTCGTGGTTAATTGACGATCAGTCTTTAATCTGGATTGGATGCTATTTTTGCTCAGCTCTCAATTACACTTAATCAAAATTGACCCACCCTACGACCACCATAGATGGAAGGGTTCGTTATGACCCTGAAAGTTTTGATGCAGCCATAGACAATGTATAAAATCAAATTCAATTTATTAAATAATAATCATAATATAATAAAATCTTATAAATTTAATTTATATGGGAAAAGTTTCGAGAATTAATATGCAAATATTTTCTATTTTTTAATTCTTTGAGCATTAATTGACAGTTTTAATGTTTATGGATACTATCTTTATCTAATAGAGGTTCATTATCTCTATTTTTTCCAGTAGAATCATTTTATTATTTATTTTTACATTATATTTTAAAAAAATGATAATATTTTATATAATAATAATTAATTAGATAATTCGAGAAAATATGAATATTTAACTTCATATCTATTTGTTATTTAAGAATGAGTTACTTGAATAAATATTTATTTATAAATAATAAGGGGTTTATCAAAGAATAATAGGATTAGAAATAATGAATAAAGCAAATGATAGGAACAATGATGGACTTGGACTGATGAAACAATCCTCGCAGTTCACTGTTCGTGAAGGAATCTCTTCCCCTTCTCCAACGAAAACGTGGTAACACAGAAAAATCAGTCAAGATAATATTTGGATAATAAACCGGTTTTTGATGGCGTAACTCAAGCACGACAATCTGCAAATCAGCCGTAACATTTATCGGAAGTAAAAACATGATTCCAGACTCCAATAATGTATTTTGGTTACACGATTATCAGATGTACATAATTAGGATTGTTTTTTTTTGACTAATCAATACGAACTTTGGGAAGTATTATCCATGATTATTATGAATTTTTTAATAAGGCATTTTAATGAATACACGCATATATAGAAAAAAACAAAAAAAAAAAAACTTCAATGATAAAAAAATATTCATAATGAGAAATAAGAAATGATAAACACAAATTGAATTATTATTTGTTTGTTCCCCCATCCATAAAATTACTCAATAAATATTAACTATTTAGTAATTATTTAATTAAAAGTGTATTGACGTGAAGAAAATCTCGCAAATAAATATGCAAAAATAAAAGCGCGCAAACAAATATGTATTTATTAAATTTATTATAAAAAAAAACCCTCAGATTTTATATGGTTGAAAGAAAATAGACAATCCAATCAAACAATTCCTTTTCTAAAATATATAAAGACACAAATTCGAACCTCTTGATCAAAAAATTCAAAGATTTATTCTTTATAATTATAAATAAAGAAGTAATTTATGAAGATAAATTCAAAAGTAACATTATCATTATTTGATTTCTTTTAATTCTCTCGAGTTTTACTCGGAATAATATAATAACAATTTTAATTCTTAAAAAAAAAGATTATATATAAATTTAGTATTAATCTCATGAGAAATGAAATTTAAAATATTTTCAATTCTTGGTGTTGCATTATGTGGTTTCTTGTCCGCCATTGCAACCCCAATTGAATCAGAAAAGCGTAATGAATTAGAATCCAGATATAATCCAAAACCATATATTTTTGATCCTTTGCCTGAATTAAAAGAGAGTTCACCCATCACTCGTTATTACCATTTTGAATTGAAAATTATAAAACTTTCTCCTGATGGTGTCGAACGTAAAGTGTGGAGTGTCAATGGTCAATATCCAGGTCCTCTCATTCATGCCAATAAAGGTGACCGTTTAGTGGTAAATGTAACCAATAATCTTGGAGACCCCGCTACTATCCATTGGCATGGTATCTTCCAACGTAAAACAAATTGGTATGATGGTGTACCTGGTCAAACCCAATGTCCTATACCAAGCAGAGTTTGCTTCACATATAATTTCACTTTGGAACAAGGGGGTACTTATTGGTACCATTCCCATTTCTTGGCTCAATATGTTGATGGATTACTTGGTCCACTCATCGTTCATGATAAAGAAGACCCTTATTGTCATTCTTATGATGAAGAGTATGTAGTCACGTTAAGTGACTGGTATCATTTTCCTTCAGCTCCACTTCTTGTTCAAAGAGTAGCTCCTCACTACACAGGTTTTAACGTAAGTTATTAAGTCATGTTATTAATTTAATTTATGTGTGATTTTAAGTAATTTGAAATTTATACATTTTGTACATTTTTATAGCCTTACCCTGATTCTGCTATTATCAGTGGTATAGGTCAATATAACTGTTCGGGAGCACCAGCAGGTTGTTATTGTGATAGGAATGTCCCACCTGCCACCTACAATGTTAAAAAAGGAAAGAAATACAGATTCCGTATTATCAATACTAGTGCCTACGCAGCCTTTACCTTTTCTATTGATTGTCATCAACTCAGGGTTGTTGAAGTTGATGGAAATATTGTAAAAAATGTCAGTGATGCCGTAGTCACTGTCTTGCCAATTCATGTGGCCCAACGTTATTCTGTTATCGTTACCGCAAATCAAAAGGTTGACAATTATTACATCCGTGCTAGTATTATGGAAAATTGTTTACTTCCTAGAACACCTGAAACTATTAACTATAATTCTTCTATCAATCCTAATGCTACCGGTATTCTTCACTATCATGGTGCTAACAATGAAAAACCCACATCAACTGCATATCCAATAACCTTTGATCCTTGTCAAGATCTTAATGCTGATGCTATACGACCATACAAAGATTGTCCTCCACCCAAAGACGTCACTGATCATTTTCTATTTAATACCACATTCGCGCGTAATGATGATGATGTTGGTCTCTTAGGAATAAATGATGTATCATTTGTGCCCATTTTCAATAATCCAACAAATCAAAGGATAATGCTAAAAGAAGATTATAGAGATTTTGATAAAAATCAAAACATATATGCTTATGACACTCCCGACGGATGTGTTGAAATTATTCTTTTAAATGGTCAGCCTGCAAATCATCCATTCCATTTACATGGTCACGCCTTTTGGATTATGGCTCAAGGACCGGGGGCAACCCTTGATAATATTACAGCATACAATTTCAAAAATCCAGTCATTAGGGATACTACTATGGTATTTGCGAATAGTCATCTAGTAATAAGATATATTGCAGATAATCCAGGTGTATGGGCTTTCCATTGCCATATTGAATGGCATGTAGAAATGGGTTTGGTAGCTCAATTAATTGAACGTCCAACGGAATTCAGTAATCAAACCCTTCCAGATGATGTTAGAGCATTGTGTATGCAATTCAATAATTACAAAAAAGAAAGACGTTCAACTACTTTACCTGGAGACTCAATGGCTAAGGGAATGCGTATGCGTATGTTTAAAAAAGTAAAATAAGACAAAGAAACGATTTTAATATTCAAGTTTATATTTTATTTTTCATGATTTAAATAATTTGAATGCTTCATTTTGTATTTTAAATCAATCAATTGAGCGCATCATTTTCTCAGAAATTTTTTCGTCAGCTCTGTATTTTTAGCTTACATTCAATTAAAAAAATTTTTCATCAGCTCTGTATTTTTATAAATGTTAAATATAAATACTGCAATTAATCAAGTTGTATTTCTATAAAAATATTTTCGAAGAATTTTTCTTTTTTAAATTTATTTTTTTAAATTTTATTATTGTAAAAAGAACATCGACTTTGGTACGAAACAATTTTCGGTAAATAAAAATCACTTTTTCTTACTCGGCGCTATCGTAAACAAATAAATAAAGTCTATTTAAATTTTAAAACTGCGGTGGAATTCGTCGACCTTGATTAGTATTATTTAAACGGTTAATTAAATAAAGGTATATATTCGTCTCATTCTAAAAAGTTGCCTTTTTTCGAGAATTTTACTATAACATTCATTTAAAAAAAAAAATAATAAATGAAATCTCCTAAATTTGTGAAAAATTCGTTTTTCCCCATTAATTTTATTATTTTGCCACCAGCACAAACTACCGCCACACTCATAATAATTATACTGTTCTTGTTGCTAGTCTGGAAATAAATTTTCTGATAACACTCCACACGTTTTTTATCTCTTTAGTTGCTATAAAAAAACAGCAATTAAAAAATGCAGAGATTAGTTTCTTTAAATTATTTTTCTTAGAGCAGAGCAGAACAGTTTATACGAGTCACAAAATACCATATATATAAGTATTTAATTATCAACACATTTAAAATTATACAATATTTTACTATTTATTTGAATAATTTATTTATTTTATTCTATATTTTATTTATTTTATTATTTTTTATTTTATTATTATTTATTTTTTTATTTATTTTTTATTTATTTTTTTTTTTTCATTTATTTTTTTTTCATCGCTGAATTAGAATCATGCTCTTAACCATACATGCGCGTATCATTATTTTGATTTATTTATTATTATTTATTTTGATTATTATTTATTTTTTTATTATTATTTATTTTTATTATTATTTTCTTTTTTTATAGTTAAAAGTAAACTTTTTCCTTTCAATTTTATCAATTTTTATTATATTAAGTGAATTTTTAGCTAACATCATTGGGTAAATCTATTTATCATCAGTGGTGATTGTCACAATCACCACTGGGCAAAATTACATAATTCCCTGATCTCAACCCTAACCTTAACTTTGTTAATTTTGCCCAACGGTGACTATCACCAGCGGTGACAAATATGTTTTCATATTTTATATATTTAATAAACTAAAAATAATAATTATATTTACTTTTTTGCTTAACAATTTATGCGTATATTTGACAAAACTACATTGCAACATTGTTGCTAGAACTGAAAAATTTTTTTTGAAAAAAAAATATTTATTTATGCCTGAATATAACGATTTAACCTTATTTCTAGTTAAGTCTGAGGATTTTAAGTTTATATGAAATTTTTGTTCAATATATACAAACCGGTTCCAATTTTTGCGTATTTGATCTTGAACAATCTTACATTTTGTGAGCTATGCATTGTATATAATGAATAAATAATATTTTTTTCCATAGTGAGGATTCATTAATGTATGGTGATATGCGGAATTGACATTCTAGTATTAATGTATGTATCATTTTTCTTGATATGTGGAATTGACTTTCTGGTTATCTTTTGACTGCACCCACCAAAAACCATGAACACAAGACTTAGGATTATGGATAATATTACAGGAAGGTATGGCAACGGCAAGGTAGAAGAGAAGTTGTTAAAAGATTGACTCGTAAGAGTTCTTCCTGTCAAGTTTTCATATTCAGAGCGTCCAAAGAAAGTATCAATGTTATCAAAATTGGGGACGTTTAACCCATTTTCATTTACGACCTTACGAAACAAATTGATCATTTTGCTACGAGTAATTGAAAATGCATTGTAGACATCATCCATAGCTAGATAATCTTTTACTGCGTTTAATAAATTTGGATCTTTTACAGTGTAACCTCTGAAATATATTCCTTCGGCTCCGTTAATTTCTGTAGAAAGGTATCGTATATTAGTTACATTATTCATAATATCTTTGAGTTCAGTGAGATAAGAAGAATTTAATTATGTTTTTTAAGAAAAAAAATTTATCACATCTATGTCATTATTGAATGCAATATATGTACTGTATGTTAAAATTAATTTTTATGTTATGCAAAGAACTATTTATGGTTGTATAATGTTGAAAAATCTGAGCATATGGATGATATAAAAATTTCGTCTAATTTAGCAAACTGTGTAATTACGGGTATTTTTTTGATACACAAATAATTAGAATATTCAGAATATGCATTTTTAATTGATACAATAGAAATACAATTTCTCCGATGATGCTTTATTTATTTATAGAATACTAGCTTAATGGCCCATGCCTTCGGCACGGGATTTTTTTGTTATTTATTTTTTCTTTTTCTTTTTTCCTATTTTTATTATTTTTTTTATCTTATCTACAAATGAAAAATTAAAATATAAAACAGGTTTCTAATTCAAAACAATTATAAAAATATAGAAACTTATTTATTTGTTATTTTTAATTTATTCATATATTATATTATTACTAATTCTGTAAAAAATTCATGAGTATTTGTAATTAATGAAAAATTCGTATTTCAATCCGTTCGTAAGCCAGCTTAATGAAAACAAATATTCAATTACTTTCATACCTTCTTAATAGTTTTAATTAGTTGTTCAAAGACAGTTTGCTTTGAAATTACGTCTCAAAGTTCTGGATATAAAACAGAACTGTAAAAAGATTCGTAAGTATTTTTAATTAAAGAAAAATTCATCTTTCAATCCATTTGTAAGCCAGCCCAGCAAAAACAAATATTCAAGTACTTTCACACCTTCTGAAAGTTCTAATTAGTTGCTCAAAGGTAGTTTCTTTGAAGTTACATCTCAAAGTTCTGGATGTAAAATGGAACTGTAAAAAAATTTGTGAGTATTTGTAATTAAAGAAAAATTTGTATTTCAATTCGTTCGTAAGTCAGCTTAACGAAAACGAATATTCAGCTACTTTTATATCTTCTGAACAGTTTTAATTTGTCGCTCGAAGACAGTTTTATTTGAAATTACATTTCAAAAGTTCTGGATGTAAAATGGAACTGTAAAAAAATTTGGTAATTAGCTTAATGAAAGCAAATATTCAATTACTTTCATACCTTCTGAACAGTTTTAATTAGTCACTCAAAGGCAATTTACTTTGACAAAAGTGTTAAAATTATGTTATAAAGTTCTGAAGGTATAAGTAGCAAGTATAGTGAAAAAAAATGATCATCACAAATTAAAATGTTTAAATTTCTCATCATGACATATTTGATGACCACCTTCTAAGCTGAAAAAGGAAAGTAGATTCTCTACATTTCATTTTGCAAATCCTTTTGAAAAAATTTTATAATGCCGCAGGGAACTTTGGAAATCCTTAGGAGATCACCCTGTTATATCAATTTTCTATCCTCTGTAAATCTTTTGATCCAAGAAAATTTTACTATGTCAAGGATTGCTTTAGAGGTTACTTCGTTCTTTCGCAGGACTTTACTCAAAGTTAGTTCGTATAATCAGTTCGTCGCTAAGGATTACCTGCATCACATGTTTTTTCAAAACATATAAACACGGAATCTGAAATCAACCAATCAAAACTCTTTTAACGGCAACATTTTTGAATTTTACAATTAGTAGAGATTATTTATAGCTATAGAAGATCCCGGAGAAACTTCTACTTCTCATCGCCATGAATGTTTGATGACATAATAAAAAACAACGAAATCATCAAATATGTTTATGAAGTCTCAAATATATGGGAAAGGGGCATTGGAATCGTTCATAGTGCCACACTAATAGATGAGAAAATGGAAAAGATGAAAGTGGCTTTAAATCTATTGTTGTTGATACTATAAAAATTATTTGTCAATGAGGTAAATATTATTTTAATAACATTTTCTGTATATTTTCAGCTTAAACAACATTCAAAAAATTTGTTCACATGAAAATATCATTGGATTTTATGGAGTATCGCAAAAAGGTAAAAAAAATAATATTTCATATCATATTTAATCTATAAATATTTTTTAAAAAAAATACATTCTAACGTACATGCATGTTTTAGAATATGTAAACGGTGGAATATCGTAATTATCTATAATCCAACTTTAAAAATATCAAATGGAGTGATAAGTTAAATTTTGTTCAACAAATTGCTAAGCGATTAAACATTTGCACTCGCATGATGTCATTCATAGTAATTATTTAATTTGTTTTTTTAAATGTAATTTTATATAGCACTTCTAATCCATAATAATAATATCAAGATTAGTGATTAGCTAAAATGATACTTTGAATGATAATTTTACAAATTATTAAAGTGTAGATTCTATTATTTCGTAACATCCATTTTTTTTTTATTTCAAATTATATAATAGAAATGCTCAAATGGCCAAAACGATATAGTATTTATAGTAACAGTGGTTCTTATTATTAAAGATCCAAATTTTTATTTAATTTAAATGATACTTTAGTGAGTGTTATTTTACAAATTATAAAACAAAATAGACTTTATTATTTTTTTAATAAATATATTTATATATAAACATCTCAAATTATACAGAAATTCATATCAAAATAAAGATAGTGAAATGAAAAAGATATACCTGAGATTGATATATTGTTCCTTATTTTTCGTTGTATAGTTAGTTTGGGTATGGTTGCATCGAACATAGTTTCTTTAAGTAATGTTTCTAATGTACGTGATCATGTAGCAATTTTCCGCGGTTAGAAATATGGGTCATTTAAGATGTGATAAGGTTAATTTTTTTAAGGTGAATAAGGTGAGTTTAAAATATTATAGGAAATTTGTAAGTGTATGATAGAAATCTGAGCACCGCATAAAGTATCATGTTTACATACAGTACATTGATTTAAGATGTTAGAGATAAATGATAGGTAATAAAAATTTTATTATTATATACATTTTTTAATAAATTATTATAGTAATTTTTATATTTTAATTATCAAATTTTTTTTTTCATGGCAATGTATAATATTTATGATAAAAAAATATATATTTTTTTTTTGAATTTTCTACTAAGAAATTGTGCTTAAAGTCAAACATCCGTGAAAAATTTTCATAGAAGTTTTCACGGACGTTTGACTTTAAACTTGAATATTATAATTAATTTATTTCGAGATATAAAACTAATTACGGCAACCGAAAATAATTAGGGTATCCGAAAATAAACAGTTTGCGTGAGTTAGATTATGTAAATTAACAAAATTGAGAATTAAAAGTTGATGATATAAAATGTGAATTGGGAATTCATCGTTTCTCTTTTTGATGCGCAGGTAATTAATGAAATAAGTTTAAAATACATTGAATAATATATATATGATATTTAATAATAAATTATAATTAATTAATTATAAGACTTATATCAGTTGCTTTAATGATGTGATGATTCCTCCGTCTGTTGAAGAAAATAACTTGATCTCGTGAAGCAATAAATATTTAAAATTTCTGGAGGTCAAAATGTAATTATAAATATTCAGAAAATAGAAAACAAAATTTTTAATGTATTAATTATATTTGAAAGTTAAGTTATTTTATAAATAATAAAGAAATATTCTTTATCAGACGTCAAACGAGCAAATTCTTAGAGATAGGTTTTTATGATGAAACTTTAAATTTAAAGTAATAATTAATAACATAATTTTCTCTCAAAGATATGAATTTACTAAAAAAATAATTATACATTATGAGCAATTTCAGAAATAAAGCAAAGAAAGAAATGCATTCAAGAAAATGCTTGGGATATATTAGATTAGATCTTATATAATTATTATTTTTGTTACAATTGTTAATTAATAATAATATAAATAATATAAATGAATATTTATTTATCTTTTTATCTTTTTTTTTTTTTTATTAACCAATCAAGGATTCAAATATGTTCATGATAATATAACGTAAACCAAACCTCAGGGAATAATCACATCAATGTATTTTGTATTGCGAATAAATAAAAATATTTATTAAGAATATCAAATATTTATTATTTTCAATGAAAAATATGTAGCAATGATTTCATCAAGGATTGAAAATTAGCCAACAAGTTATCTTTAATAGATAATCCATATGAGTTTCAAGGAAGTAAGGATGGATTTTCTCCAAAATATTTTGAGGTATTTGTCATAAGCATGTCAATACAAATATTATTTCTAAAACTAAGAAACATATGAAATTTTCGAAGATTTTATCCTTTAATTTCATATTTCATTTAAAAGGTAATACCTAAAATTCGATTCTTAATGGAAAATTATGCTTTATTTTATTTTTACAATAAAGATACACTCATGGTTCAAATTTTAGAAATGAATTCACCATGAAAAAATAATTTTGTTTTAGATAAAACAAAATGAAATTATAGTTCTAGTTTTAATAATTATGAAGAACCTATCTATTTGATCAATTAACGAGCGATAAATTTACAATCAGTTATTAAAAAATCAATATTTTATTTTTATAATTAGAAAAATTAATATACTCCATCGTGCATAAATGATGAGGACGATGAATAAAACTATAAATTATTGTTCAATAAAAGAGCAATTTTATACTTTATGCTATTTAAAGTAACAAATAATAAGTAAATAATAAGTAAAAATAGTAATAATAAAGTTTCATTCATTTAAATAAATCAGTTTTAGAGGTGTAATATATATATAATATTCTATTACTTGCATTGCATTGCATGAATAATATATCATTTCTAGATATCCAACTATGTATCAAAATCTTGAATATTTGCATGGAAAAACGTATGAATTACCATAATAAATACTGTAAAGTGTTATATTATTTTTGCGCCCTTTTCCTTGTTCACGTTTTTATAGATATAATTTATATCGAGAATAATAAATTTTTAATTCTTAATGAATGAATATCTATTTATTTTATTTTTTTTTGAGAAGTCGTAACATCATGTAATTATATATATTATATATATGCTGGTATTTTTTTTTTTTTTAGAAAAATAGCTCGCAAGTTTTAAATAAATAAATTTATTATTAGGACGATAGCATAAAATTAAATATAATAAAGAATAAGGGTCACATCTCAACTCATTAAAATCAGTTGTAATTTTTTATCAACTTTACGTAGTAACGAATTTAGGCGTTTCTTTATCTTTCTTCTATTTTGTTTCATTTTTTTCATGTAATTAATAATTAATATAAATATTTATTTATTATTAAAATTAAAAATAAATTCGCAACAATTAAAATTGTTGATAACAGATAAATGGTAATCATGTAATTAATTAAGGTTTTAGTTAGGTAAGACTCTGTTGGAATGTAAAAAAAAAAAAAACTAGCATTGTCATTTTAATAATGAACCTAAATAATATTTTAGAATTTAGTTGACGATTATTATTGTTTATTTTACATCTAACGTGATTCATGCAGCTTAAGTGATGATAACAATCCTTAGCGTCTTTCATTTTGTGATCATTTAAGAAAACTCGTGATATAACTATATGGTTGCATAATATTGTTAATAATTTAATTTATATATTAAGCATATGATCGAGAATATGGAATTTAAGTAATTTATCGATGAGATTTTATTATTAATAATAATTTAGGAATTTTAAAAATTCTCTCTCATATTAAATTATACTTTTATAAGGATAAATCTTGTTATATTGAAACCCATATGCACCTGATTAATTGACTTATTAGATTTGTTTACCACGAATGTAAAACAACCTGTAAAAATACAATGATGATTAACAAGCTGACAATATTATGTTTAAAATCCCTGGTTCCTCCTTATGTTAATCAATAAAGTTTATTTATAGAATATTTCCAAATTCATAGAAATAATCGAATCGTTCATTGATAATTCACTTTTGTTACTTTTTGTACTCTTTATATGGTAATTTTCCTGTATGCATGTTTCACATCAATTTTTAGAAATAACGTATGAAATATCAATAGCTAAATTAATTCAAATCCTAATTTTATTTGTTACACATGTAATAAATGTTGTAAACTGAACCAATTGAGAAAAAAGAACACTGCAATAATGGTGAAATTATTTGAAGATTTTGTCTGAAACATAAAATTGATTTCTACAAAAAAAAAAACTTTTATTGACTCAATGATATGACATGATTACAGTTATAATTACAAACGCGTTTTCTATTCTTTTGCATAACGAAAGCATTCATAGGAAGCACTCAAAGAAGAACATGCATTTTTAAGTTACAGATTTTCATAGACAAGATTTATTTGTTTGAATCAAAAAATAAACTGTAAATCAAAGGTAAGGTAATAATCAAAAATTTTTCGTTCCGGATGATATTTCGTTTGCATCAAACTTGGAATGCGAACCCCTACATCCATAAAATTATAACTAAGAAGTAATCATTTATTTAATTAACAAGTTATTGTTAATCCTTTTCATAGGGTTACACTTACACCTGACATGGAAATCAATAGAAGAAAAATCTCGCAAATAAATATGCAAAATAATTTAAATCTCGCAAATAAATATGCAATTTATTATAGAAAAAAAATAAAATTTTTATTACCCGAAATAATTGTTTTCGCATCGTTGTTCCATATAAAGCAAATTTTCATTAAATTAATTATGAAAACAAAACAAAAAAACCAATTAAATATTATCTTAACGAGCGGCTTCGAATTAATTTATTTTTATACTTAATTTGTAATTTATTTATATTTTATTTATATTTTTATTACAATACAATTTTCTTTTGTAAAAAAATTTTCGCACAAAGGAGTAACTTTAAAATATGTTTACACAATCAAACAATTCTTTTTCTGAAATATATAAAGACCCAATTTCGAACCTTTTTGTGATTCAAAGGTTTATTTCTTTTGAGTTTCTCTTCATTAAATAAATTACTTTATAAAAATTTAAATTTCTTTAATAAATAATAAATATAGACATATACAAATATAATCTTTTTTTTATCTCTCTTTGAGAAATGAAATTTAAAATATTTTCAATTCTTGGTGTTGCATTATGTGGTTTCTTGGCCGCCGTTGCAACCCCAATTGAATCGGAAGGAACTCATGAATTTGAACCTAGAGCTCATGGATCATATATTTTTAATCCTTTACCTAAATTAAGGGATACTACTCCCAAAACTCGTTATTATCATTTTGAATTGAAAATTAGAAAACTTTCTCCTGATGGTTTCGAACGTCCTGTGTGGACTGTCAATGGTCAATATCCAGGTCCTCTCGTTCAAGCTAATAAAGGTGATCGCTTAGTGATCAAAGTAACTAATAAATTTGGTGACCCTGCTAGTGTCCATTGGCATGGTATCTTCCAACGTGAAACAAATTGGTATGATGGTGTACCTGGCCAAACCCAATGCCCCATTCCAAACAGAGTTTCTTTCACCTATAATTTCACTTTGGATCAATCGGGTACTTATTGGTATCATTCTCATTTCTTGGCTCAATATGTTGATGGATTGGTTGGTCCACTCATCGTTTATGATAAAGATGAACCTTATTATAAATCTTGTGATGAAGAATATGTGCTCACAGTAAGTGATTGGTATCATTCTCCTTCCGCTCCACTTCTTGTTCAAAGAATTTCTCCTGGTTATAACGGTTTTAACGTAAGTTATTAAGTTATGTGATTAATGTAATTTATATAATATGATTTAAGTAATTTGTAATTTTTAATTTCTAATTTACATTTTATACAAATTTATAGCCTTACCCTGATTCTGCGGTTATCAGTGGTCGAGGTCAATATAACTGCTCGTCACCAGCAGCAGGTTCTGATTGTAATCCAAATGTTAGACCTGCCACCTACAATGTTAAAAAAGGAAAGAAATACAGATTCCGTCTTATCAACACTGCTGCCTACGCACCCTTTGCCTTTTCCGTTGATAGTCATCCACTCACAATTATTGAAGTTGATGGAATTCCTACAAAAAAAACTAATGCTTCCACAGTGAAGGTCTTGACAATTCACCCTGCTCAACGTTACTCTGTTATCCTTACCGCCGATCAACCAATTTCCAATTATTACATCCGTGCTAATCTTCTTACAGAATGTATAGCTCCTAGAATTCCAATGTATCCATTCAATACCACTATTAACTTTAATTCTTCAATCAATCCTAATGCTACCGGTATTCTTCACTATTATGGTGCTGACTATAAAAAACCCACATCAATTCCATATACGTATCCCCCTCCCCCTCGCCCTACTGGCCCTGGCCCTCCACCTCCCAACCCAATTTGTCAAGATGTTAATCCTGATGCTATACGACCATACCACCCAGATCCTGCTCCCACTAATATTACCGATACATTTATATTTAATGTCACATTCGCCGATAATGATGATGATGTCGGTCTCTTCCAAATCAATGGTCATTCCTTTGAACCTATTTTCAATAATCCAACGAATCAAAGAATAATGTTAAAAGAAAGCTTTGCAGATTTCGAAGAATCTCAAAACGCGTATGGTTATGACACTCCTTATGGGGGTGTTGAAATTATTCTTCTTAATCGTGGGGGTGCGGATCATCCATTCCATTTACACGGTCACGCCTTTCATTTAGTTGGTGTAGGATCGGGAGTAAATATGAATAATTTAACAACAAGAAATTTGGTAAATCCAGTCGTTAGAGATACTGTTCAAGTACCTGGAGGGGGTCACATTATAATAAGATATATTGCAGATAATCCAGGTGTATGGGCTTTCCATTGCCATATCGAATGGCATGTAGACATGGGTATGGTAGCTCAATTAATTGAACGTCCAACGGAATTCAGTAATCGAACCCTTCCAAATGATGTTAGGGCATTGTGTGTGCAACACGATAGTTATTACAAACAAAAACGTTCAACCTTACCTAAAGATACAAAGGTTAAGAGAATTCAAATGTTTAGAAAAGTATAAAGAAACAATTTTAACATTCAAGTTTTTTTTTTATCTATATAATTTTCACAATTTTAATAGTTTAAAATGACTTTTCATACAATCAATCAATCAATCGAGTGCATCATTTCCTCATTAGAAATTTTTCATCAGATCTGCATTTTTAGCATTCATAAACATAAATTTTTAGAAAATATTATATTACAATAATAATAATAATCAAGTTCATCATATTGTATTTTTAGAATAATCATAATAAAAATATTTTCGAAGAGAGTTTTACATTATAATTGATTTTTTAAAATTTATCATCGTAAAAAAAAATATTTAAAAGAATTCTGCTTGCATTGACTTTTGTACGAAACAACTTTCGGTAAAATAAAAATCACCCTTTCTTACTCGACATTATCGGTTCGAAATAACATAAATAATATATAAAATTATGTAATTTTTAAATTTTAATACCATCGATCGTAGATTTGACATACGTCGATCTTTACATTATTTCAAAATTGCTAATATTGATATTTAAACGATTAAACAAAGGATGATCATCATCATGCATCAATTTTCAAATAACTGACTGATAGTCAAGCTAGTTCTTTGTAGCACATAAGATTTTATATATTATATATTATTATTAATTATTTCGATGAATAAAAATGCAATCACCATCAAACTCATAAACTTGAATTTTATTGATGTTCTTCTCTTTATGAAATAATCTAAACTTATAGCTATTTGCCATTTCCACCACTTGTACAAAATCATTTTGCACTTAGCAATCAACGATATGGCATATTCATCGGATGACAATTTTTTTGTTTACTTGTAGTGTAACTGTTTTTAAATGAATTACAATGCATTATCTCTTGTCACAATGTACAAACATTAAAATATCTAAAGATATAAATGATGTAAAAGGAAATTTACTCGGACAATGGAGATAGTATTTTATGAGATATGAAATAAATCGGTGATAATTTGAACAAAGAAAGGTATAAAATTTATTAATTATTGTTAGTTATTCAAAATAATTATATACTTATATATGTAGAGTATGTAATCCGAACGACAGGTGTTATTCTTTTTTTTTAGATGATTTACGTCGTTGCATATATACAATTACATATATACTGTATTACTATCTTATAATCTAGCACTTGTTCATTTTGCGTAAAGATATTATTATTAATTTAATGTCAAAAGAATTTATATATTTGAGCCTATTAGTCGAATGAGAGTAAGTTAATATAATGAGCGAAATATTTTAATAAATACATTTAATAATAATAATTGTATTCCCGCGCAGCTCAGTTACCACGTCGAGAATGTGTTGAAAAAAAACAACTTAGTGTAACAAATTATTTTCTCATATCAATTATATAAAAGTACCTATTTCCGCCGCTCATTATTTTTAAATAAATCAAAACTTCTATATATCTATTATTTCATTATTCCATTTCATCGTAATGATACGATCAAGTTTAAATTTGATGGTTTTGCTAATAACGTGGATAACAATTTTTTTTCTGATGTCTTCGGTATTAGGTTCTGGAATTTTTACACATAATGAAACGAATCCATTCGAAACAACCCCACGAATATGAAATTACCTAAAATACTTAAATGAGACAGTGGTTATTCGAATTATTAATAGGAATCCTAATAAAACATCTTCTTCTGATGAAGTGCGGATAAGACCAGTATTATCTTTACGCATTATTCATTACAATGGAACTTTCAGTGAAATAGACAAAGACTTAGAGATTCCAGAATTCAACTGGCGCATTACTCTAAGTTCTAGTGGTTATATCGTGAACTTTGTAAATATATATGAGCTTCAAAAGAGTTACTTACTTGTTACATACTTTAATACTTCAAATCCGGATGATATTACAACTTATGAAGAATGGGGACGTATTATCCATTAGAATGGCACTTTATATGAGTAATTATTTTTATCATGATCACATCATGTACATCATATTAACTTAATAACAATGACAATTATTATTACTTTTATTCAAATATATTCTAAACTGTGAAGTAAAGTAAATTTCCCGAAGACATACATCGAAAATTATTCATGGTTCAGTGACTAACGTTAATCCAGAAAAGGGTTTTATTAGGATGACTTGGAATGAAACTTATATCGAGTGGCAACAATATAAGATGTGAGTTTTTTATACTATGACATACGTTTGATATTATAAAATTTTAAAATTTTACAATTTTAATTTTAGTTTTTTTTTTATTTTTTAGAGGCGATACATTCAATTTAATAAAGTTATTCGAAGGAAATATTTACATGTAATAGCTACTGTCGTGGGTACTATTGACGAGGGTTATAGCATAATTATGGGAAATTCCACAAACTCCACTAATTCCGATAAAAATAATCCTTTGGAAATTCGTGCGGCGGTGTATGTTTTAACAAAAGGATACCATGATAAACAATTTAGTACACCAAAAATGATTTATCAATTACCCTTAGATAATATTACAATATCTGATGCAACTTGTGGTATTTCAAGTACTGATATTGGACAAGTTTGTATACTCACCATCACACAGAACAATGTTAATTATTATGTGAAACTTAATTTCTTATCATCTGGCTCTATTACGGAAATCGTTCCATTAAATATAACCGCACCCGAATTACCCCAAAATGCTACTACAGGATGGTTAATAGAAAGCATTCCTTATGGAGGTTATGTATACTATATTTATATTCAGAATACGAATAGTCGTACCAATGTCTATGGATATTATGTTAACGAAATCGAAAATAATTTTATTGAATGAGATTTTCCAGAGCCATCAGCTTTTAATACACGAGGAACTTTGATAATTCTGCCTAACAATACTATTTTAATAGCACCAGCAGAAAGTAATAATACGTGGAGTTTAAATACCACTGATATTCCTAAATTCATAGATTTAGACAATGTTTATTCAAATTTTCAAGTAAAATCTACAAGTCCCTC